AATGAGATATTGTGATTATTTGTGATTAGTACTTCCTTAAATTATAAACAAACAGCTGCAGCTATTAAATGAACACATATGTACATACATACGCCCATATATATAAGTGGTTTATATATATATATATATATATATATATATATATATATATATATATATATATATATATATATATATATATATATATATATATAGTATCCGGATGACGGAGCTTTGCTCGTTTTTTTTTTTTTGAAATTACATTTATAAATTACATACTGATGAAACTTTGATCTTAGAATAGAAAAAACTGATTATTTGAATAAAAAATCATGAGTGCAATTAGTTTTATTAAAATTTTCGTATTTTTAAAAATTACTAAAAAAAATGGATTTCAAATAATAGATTTTCTTACAAAAGAAGGGAACTTGAAAAAAAAGGAAAAAAGCCTGACCAGAGCCCGGATGCGAACCACGGAACTTCGATATCACGCCCGACCGACATACCATCTGAGCTGTAACGGTCGCCAGTGATTTGTCGAAATTTACCTTCTTATATTGTAGCAGTTTTTTATAGCCTGAAAACACGGACAAAAGGACATTTTCTAAAAATAAATCCAAGCGTTCGTCGCTAAAATCGTTGGAGCCGTTTCCGAGATTTCGATTATATATATATATATATATATATATATATATATATATATATATATATATATATATATATATATATACAGGGTGTAATATAAGTTACGACGCGCGGATCAGCTATCTGCTTCTGTTGTTATTAAATTTAGTCGTGATTTGACTATCTCTGAAGCTACTTGCGAGTTCTTTTTCGACATTCATTGTTGAACAGTTTCGTTGAGTTTAGTTTTTGTTTCATTGATTGTTAAGTTTTTGTTGTTTGTTATTTGTTTCTGTTTTCGGACGGTAGTGTTCAAACTTAATTCAAAACACTGCAGTGATTATGGCTCAACGCACTTATTTTACTAACCAAGAATACGCTGATATGCTTTTGGTTTATTGCCGGGCCCTGAATAACGGCCACAGAGCACGTAGACTTTATGGAGAGCTGTGTCCCACGAGAAGGTTGCCTAGCCATAAAAAGAAGTTTGCAAATACTTATAGAAGGATACGTGAAACTGGCAAATTGCAACACAGGGAACCAGGAAAATTACTGTTTATATTATCCATTATTAATTATTTCGTACATTTTAAAATGAGTAAAGTAACTTACACTATTTTTTTGTGCTAGGTATCGTGAAAGGAGATTTTGCACGGCGTACAGAATTTTGCAGCTTTATACTGCATAAAGATGTCGACGATAATCAATTTTTGAAGAGCATTTTATGGACCGACGAGTCAAAGTTTACACGAGAAGGCATTTTAAATCAACATAATTTACATTATTGGTCAGATAAAGATGAAAATCCACGTAAAACGAGACAAATATCGCATTAGACACGATTTAGTGTTAACGTGTGGGCAGGTGTGATTGGAAGATATTTAATCGGTCCTCATTATCTACCTGATAATTTAAACGGAGATAATTATTTACATTTTTTACAAAATGATCTCCCGGAACTAATGAGCGAGGTACCAATAATGAATGAGGACACAAGAATAATATTTCAAAACGATGGCTGCCCTGCCCACTATCGCAGAACCGTAAGGGAATATTTAGATGCGGTATTTCCGAACACGTGGATAGGGAGACTCGGACCTATCGAATGGCCTGCGAGATCCCCAGATCTGACTCCACTGGATTTATGTCCGAGCAAAGGAAATTGTATACGAAAATGAAATACAAACAAAAGAAGAGTTGATTGGAAAAATAAATGCTGCTTTTCATATTATGAAAGAAGAAATGCGATTAAAAACTACTACGAGTGAAATACGTCGAAGATATCAAGCGTGTCTTCATAATGTAGGAGGACATTTTGAACAAAACATGTAAATTTAGTAAAAAATTACTAGTAGGTACTTATTTTTTTTATTATTATTGAGCAAGACCCTGGTGAGTGTAGTGTAGACACATCCATTAATTTTTTTGTATTAAATACAATAATAGGCGCTCGTATGAGCTGGTAGCTGTAGCTGACCCGCGGGTCGGCAATTTTTTAATTCCCCCGCCCTCACATTCAATTATCAATGATTTTGTTAAATAATCTAAAGTTTTATTTGACATTTGATATACCGATAGAAAGAGGATAAATCAGGGAAGTTTTTAAGGCCATTTTAAATTACTCAACAATTTTATTTATTTTTAAGGGGCTGGAAACTTTGAGGTTTACAATTATTTTTCTCGTTTGTTCACTTTCAATGTATCGTAAGTATTTTTTCTTATGCTTTTTGGGCGTTAAATCTTTTTCTTAATTATAAACAAATCATTATACTTGGGAAAAATAAAAAAAAATGGCAGAAAACTAGAAACACTAGAAGTTATTGAACCAAAATACTAGAAAATTGGGATAATAACAAAAAAATTTAAAAATTCATTTAAAAAAATGGTAAGAGATAGAAAAAAATTTACTAAGAAAATATGCTTCTAACGAACCCATCTATCTCCCATTTCAGTTTGTCGGACCACCCACCAAACAGCTTGTATATATATACAAGAATTGCTCGTTGAAAGGTATAGGAATATATATATATATATATATATATATATATATATATATATATATATATATATATATATTATTCCTGGGGTATCCATATAATTTTTTCATCTGGTTCGGTTCTATATATATTTAAATATATAAATATTATAAATTAAAATGAAAAGATAAATATACATATCAATAAAATAAAATAAATACAAAATAATATTATATTATTATTGTTATTGTGGGGTATTAATATAGTTTTCTCATCTGGTTGGGTTCTATAAATATATAATTATAAATGAAAATGAAAAGGTAAATATACATAAATATCAATAACATAAAATAAATATTAAAATACATAAGGTAACTGTACCAGTCTTGGTAAGCGTTCTATTGATGGTCAATTTCGAAAAAAACGGCAAAATAACAAAACTAAACGTTGTAGGGAAAATGGCAACATTTAGTGATAAACCATAGACACTCAGCTTGTGAAAAAATGACGTTTGTCATTTTGACACGTGACATTTACAACATGGCGGGCCCTTAAACAGAATGCGTTGGTGAATTTATATAATTAGTGTTATTTTTGATAAGGTAAACAGAAGTACTCACCAGTACTTCTGTTTATTATTTTATAATTATATAAGGGTTTTGAGATATTTCTTTGTTTTGATACTTAAGGTAACATACCTGTGTGATGAATGACACCAAAAAATGCACATATTTTTGTTTTGTAGACTTCTTAAACTGAACTGACCATTACTGGAACGTCGATTTATGATATTTCCAATGATGATCAAATTGACCATGATGGGCACAATAGGGTTTTTAGCTTTTTTCATAAAATTTAGAATGTTTATCCACAGAAACGAGTTCAAATTTTATCAGCGCCTCGTTTGAACATACCGGTCCAGTAATGGTCATAGTTACCATTATTGGGGTGACCATGACTGGATCACAGACCATAATGTTTGCATTATAATGGAGTATTATATAATTTTTTTTGCTGTTATACAATTAAGTTTTAACCTTTATACACGACTGTCCAAAAAAGGGTGTATTGTTTTGCAAAATAGATATTTTTTATAAATTTGATTTCTTTGTTTCATAAGGTAACGATGGCACCAAAGAAAAACTACACGTCTCATCAAATGTGCCTTGCAATGGAAGCTGTTAGAAAAGGGGACAGTTATTCAGCTGCAGCTGAGAAATATGGTGTACCGAGAATGATCTTAAGGAATAAAGTAACGGGAAAGAGTCCCGTTGTCTGTCATATGGGTCCTCCTACAATACTTTCTATGAATGAGGAAGCCATATTAAAAGAATGCTTGTTTGCAATGGCAAAACGACATTGCCCGATAGGAAAGGAACAGCTATTAGATTCTGTTCAACTAATTATAAAATCTGCTAATAGAAAAATCCATTTACGAATGACAGACCAGGGAGGAAATGGTTCGATTTATTTTTAAAAAGACATCCAGAAAAATCTGAGATAGTTTCACAAAACTTAACCACATCAAGAGAATCTGTAAAAGAAGAACATATAGTCAAATGGTTTGCAGACGTAGAGAAGTATTTAGAAGAAAATAATCTTCCAGAAGTTTTGAAGGATCCAACGCGGATATTTAATACCGACGAAAGCGCGTTTTTCTTAAATCCCAAACCTGACCGTGTTTTAGTTAAAAGAGGAGAAAAAAATATATATTCTACGTCAGGGAACGAAAAAGAAAACCTTACAGTTCTTTTGACAGCTAGCACCACCAATGATAGTGTTCTCTTACGAACGCATTCCCCGAGCTATTGCCGAAAGTATTCCTGAAAATTGGGGCATTGGCCGTTCAGAAAACGGCTGGATGTGCGGGAGTACATTCTACGAATATGTAACCAATATATTATATCACTGGTTGGTTCAAAACAATACGAAGTTCCCCATAATCTTTTTTTCTGGATGGTCATGCTTCCCATTTGACTAAACATTTGTCAGATTTCTGCAGAGAGAAACAAATTGAAGTTATCGCTCTATACTCAAACAGTACTCACTTGCTGCAACCCATGGATATGTCGGTATTTAGGCCACTGAAACTGTTTTGGCGACAGGAAACAAGAAAATGGAAGACTGAAAATTTGGGAGAGCAAGTGAAAAAAAGAAAACTTTTCCCCAATACTAAAACGTGCATTAGAAAGTATAACTCCGGACTGCATAAAAAATGGGTTTCGAGTGGGAGGACTTTTTTCTTATGGCCCAGACCTAGTATACTTTACTAAGTTAAACATCCAAAACAGAGCATCGACAAGTAAAAGCGCCTGTGATTCTACAAAAAACCAAGCTTTTTTAAGCCAACTCGAAGCAGAAATCGTAAAGATATTTAAACGGTCTAAACTAGACACCTTTAACAAATGTTTTTACTTACCTATGTCAGAATTAGCTGATGTATTGCCGACTGAAGATTTGACAATGTACACTATCTGGGCCAAATATAAACATTTGTGTGCAGTTACTGTTTCTGAAAGCAATACAAAAGCTAAAGATGAGCTAATAAAAAAAGATGATAGACCAGGTGTTGAGCAAAATACAACCCGAATGATAATTGTTTCTGAACAAACGACTTCTTCTGAAATCGTGCCTCTGATATCTGTTCCTCCTGTGGAATGCCACGATGATAATTCTACGACATCTGCAAGGTCTTCTGCAGAAACACTTCAAAATAAAGATGTTTTCGGGCCTACTTACAATAGTAAGATAGAAAGGGGCAGTGAAAAATGTGGCACTAAGCAAAATCAGGACCTGCTTTCTAAATGCGCTATTAGTGACTTAACTTCTGCGCATAAAACTCCGACTAAAGTCACACCTTTGACATCTTCTGCTATTGCAGTAGATCAAAACGAGATAATACCATCTTCATCTACTGCAAGTTTTGCTCATCACATGCTTAATAAAGGAATTCTGGTGCCATCACCGTTTAAGAAGGCTCTATTTTGTCCAGAACCGACACAAAAGAAACGTAAAATATCCAAAGAAAAAATACCATCAGCTATTACAAGTAAGTCATGGAGAGAATTTTACGCAAAAATAGATGCAGAAAAAAAGAAAAGGAAGATATCAAAGCAAAAAGAAAACAACTATGTTAAGAGAAGAAAGAGTTAAAAGAAAAAGCCATATTGAAAAACAAAAGAATACGAGTAGACGTAAAGAAAACATGAAGAAACGCAGACATGTCTCTATCACTTCCAGTGAATCGGATATTGTAAGTAATGTGACATATGCGGAGACAGGAGGAAGTGAAATGGACACACCAGATAAATCTGATGAAGATCTAACACTTAAGGACTTGAAGCTAAAAACACTATAAATCTAAATGGCAATAACAATCAAAGGCAATCAGATATTCAAGGCGACTCGATTTCACTTCCGCTGTCCTTGGAACAAGCTGATGCCGAAACGTCTGATGAAGATATAGTATCACCTAAAGTTATAGTAGAGCAGTTGCCTTATAACTTTTCTGTTACAACAGATGAAAATTTAAATGAAAAGTTGCGTTGTGGAATTCCAAAAGGAAATAATACTTCCGTTTCTTGCAACGTTTCTGCTAACGATTATGTAATAGTTATTTGGAATGAAAGGAAATACCCAGGACAAATTGTTTCTGTGACCGAAGAAGGGGCGCTAGTATCTTGCCTTAAAAAATCCAAAGAATTTTGGCGCTGGCCTGTGATAAAAGACTTACAACTGTATAGTTGGGATAGTATTGTATGCCAAATAGCAATTCCTAAGTTTGCAAAAAAAGGCTGTTTTATTATTCCAGAAATGGATAATGTATAAATATTTAAACATACTAAAATTCAGTTACGGTGCCTTAAAGTATAAATTTAATGTTCTATTTTCTTAAAATTAAAGCTTGTTAATCTTGTAGTAGTTTTGTAAACGTTGTACCTCTTTTAAAATACTTAGTTACCTATTTACTGATTTATAAAATATCGGCTAATTATAATAAATGAAGGAAGGGAATGATAAGAAAGGTTAAAAATATCCATTTTGTTGTTTTTATAATTTTAAGGTTTTAAGATATACCTTCTTACTATTACTTCTTATGATTCAACACTTAATAACGACACTGAAATCTAGCCTAGGAAGAAATGTTATTTACTTTTAACGTCGTTGTCTCATTTTGATCTCATTTTGATTTTAATATGATTTTAAGAATATTGTAAGATAAGATTCTAAGTTCAGAATTATAAATATAAAACATATTTTTTTAGTTTCTTTTATTATGAATAAAAGCGTAATAATAAGCTTAGTGACCATAATTAGTGCTGGCCATAATAGGAGCAAACCATAAATGGTGGGTCAACATTGGGTTTTCGGCCGACAATCATTGGCTCTGTCAACAACAACTTTTTAAAATTACTTTTTAACTTTTCTATTAAAGACGATACCAATTTATAAGCTTTCGTATGTACGGAAATCCTACTTTTATCAATACCAATAGTTTTGAATCAGATCTGGTTTTAATTAAATAACAAAAGGTCGAAAAATAAAATTAAAATATCTTAAAGTGACCATGACTGGTGCGTTTACCTTATATAAATAAAAGCCCAACCTGATGGAGGCCCTCGACAGGGGAGACCAAACGGCCGAGTTTATTATTGTTATTATTATTATTACAAGTTGTGGTTCGGTGAAGCTGCAACCTAATGGACCATGATTTGAAATTTTTATGAAAAAGAAGTGGCTGACGTCAATTATTATTCTTCTTATTATTTTTTCATTACTGCCTTTTTCAACCTCACAAGATATTTGTAACTGCAAAAAAAGAAAACTACGTATAAGTAAGTAAATCAGTAATATAGTGTTATGTATGATTCAGACTAAATAAAGGTTCCTAAAAATAGACGTAGATAAAGAAATTGCATAAAAAATTACTTAAATAAAAATGCAATAAACTTGTTAATTTTATAGGTAGTAACATATTAAAATAATAAGTTTTTTTAGGATATTTATGTAAAACATAAAGGTTATATTATGTTCTAACTACGTTCACGCTTGCGCATATAAAACCGCGGAATTTCACTAGTTTTATTATCAAAATAATAATTGACAACCCTACCCTAAGTTTGCCTTGATTTTACCAACTCAAACTCGTTTTAGGAGATCTAAACATAGAGAGAAAGATAGGAGACTATTTTTTATTTACTATGGTTCATCAAATCCGTAAAAATAGTTTAAAATACTCACACAATAAAATTTTGAAGTGCAGGTAAAATATCTGCGACCAACATTTGCACAATTCTGACGTTCACAGACGTTTCACAACTTTTTGCCAGAACCAAAAGTAAGCGCTGGCATGCGACAAAAATCGTGCCATAAATAAAATAAAGTCTCTAGCTCGAGAGCAGAGGAGCCGTGGTAGCTCAGATGGTTAGCGCTTGCTGAAATTTTCAGAGTGCACGAGCAAACCGGGTTCGGCCCCCCCGGCACCAATGAAATTGTAATTGCAATTTTAAGTGTTGATTTGTGCTCAGTGGTGAAGGAAAACATTGTGAGGAAACCTACATACATAACATAAACACTCACGCCTGTCACCCAGAGGGGTAGGCAGAGACTACGGACTTCCATTTGACATGATCCTGACATACCTCTTTCGCCTCCTTTACGTCCATATATCTACGCATACATGCTCGTCGGTTATGGGTACTTTTAACGTAGCCCATTTTCAAAATATCGCCAATTTGATCGATAAACTTTTTTCTAGGGCGTCCCTTCTCGACTCTGCCGTTCACATCTGCCATATAAATTTGCTTTGTCACTCTTTCCTCATTCATTCTTTCTACGTGACCAAACCACCAAAGCATTCCTTTCTTAATCCTGGTCACAACATCATCTTGCATACCACATTTATCTCTTATCACGCAATTTCTCACCCTGTCATTCAGATTCCACCCTAACATACTCCTTAAAGACCGCATTTCTACAGCATTTATTCTACTATTCGTGCTTCTTCTGCCACACCCAGCTTTCACTACTATACATTAAAGTAGGGACTAACACAGCATTATGAATTACCATACGTGCCTTTTTTGTGTAGTGTAGTGCCCCATTCACTCTATTCCCTGCATTTACTCGTCGTTCTATATCCTTATCATATCTACCATCCCTGCTAAATACACATCCCAAATACACAAACTCATCCACTTGCTCAATTAACTCTCCTTCTATTCTTATTTCACATACCGTTTTGCTTTCTTCTCTTTCAAAAACCATCACTTTCGTCTTACGTTCACTTTCATTCCCTTTTCTTTTAATGCCTGGTTCATTAATGTAACCATCATTTGCAACTCAGCCGCCGACGACGCAAATATGACTTGATCATCGGCATATAAAAGGTATTTGACGGTTAACTCGCCCATTCTTAACCCACATTCTTTATCTTTCAAAGTTTGCAAACACCTGTCCATAAATAGGTTGAACAGCCACACAGCCCTGTCTGACACCTTTTCGGATGCCAAACTAGTCCGAGTAGACCCCATTGATCCTGACACAAGCAATAGAATCCCTATAAAGAGACCTCAATGCCTGTATCAAACCAGCGCTCAACCCATATGAGTTCAGTGTTTGCCATAACACATTCCTGTCCACTCTGTCGTAAGCCTTTTCCAGGTCCATGAACGCACAAGAAACTTTCTGGTTTTTAGCCAAAAACTTCTCCGCAATCATGCGCATGGAAAAGACTTGATCTGTACACCCCATACCCTTTCGAAAACCCGCTTGTACATCCCAAATTTTTCCATCAGTTTCTTTCATAACTCTTTCAATTAACACCTTAGCATGCAGTTTACCCACAATACTAAGCAAGCTGATACCACGGTAGTTTTTGCAGTCCTGCTGTGACCCTCTTCCTTTATATATTGGTACTATAATTGCTTTACACCAGTCATCCGGTACCCGTTTTAATTCCCAACACAAATTAAACAAGGTGTACAGCAGGCCTGCCACCACTCCTTCTCCAGCCCTTAGCATCTGGGGTGATACTCTATCATATCCAGCTGCCTTACCTGCTTTCATGCTTTTCATTGCTTTCATTATTTCATCTACACTTATCTCTATACCCCTTTCCAGTTCTTTCGGAATTTCTTGTTCATTTAATTCAGACGACTCTTCACTCATAAACACGCTTTCAAAGTATGCCTTCCATCTGTTTAAATTCGAAACTTCATCATTCAGAATACATCCATTCTCGTCTCTTATAGCATAAATTATAGGCTGTTTTGTATTTCCCCTGGCAGTTCTTACGAGTTTCCAGAACATTTTTATATTAGCCTGGAAATTATCAGATATCCTTCTATCATTCTTATCCATTCTTTCTTTCTTTTTCCTTTCAACTACTTCTTTTACTCTCTTATATAGACGTCTAAATTTTGCCTTTTTTCTTTCTATCTCATCATTCATACCACCAGAATTACCAGCTTTAGTTGCTAGTAAATCTAACCATGCTTTCTTCTTTGATTCAACTTCCACCCGTACCTCATCATCCCACCACAACGTATTCCTTTTCCTTTCATTTGTTCTCTTACTTACACCACATACTTCAGTGGCTGCATCCACCAAACCTTTCTTAATATTATCCCACACAGTATTCAAGTCTAAATCATTCATACATAACTCATTCAAACACCTAATATTTTCTCTCAGTCTGCATTTATACTTCTCTTTCACATCTTCATCTTGTAACTTCTCTATTCTTATACGCTGTAACGCAGTGGTAGACACAGATGTCCGATGCCGTAAACGCTTGAAAAGACCATTAATTCGACATAAGACCAAGTAAAGATCCGTCCCTACGTTGGACCCCCGGTAAACCCTTGTATCTACGACTGCGCTCCTCATGCTTTCATCCACAATTACGAAATCTATCATGCTTCTATCATCACCTCTTTCCCATGTATACATATGAATCTTCTTATGACGAAAAAAAGTATTAGTCACAAAGAGATTCTTTTCCACACATACGGTGAGGAGGTCTTCACCATTCTCATTTATACTTTCATCACCAAACGTTCCCAATATCCTTTCATAACCAGACCTCTTCACCCCAACCCTTCCATTACCTACATGTCTGAGAAATAAGAAAAAAATTTTTTCGAAGACATGCGAAATTCGCCAACACGCATTGGGGTAGCGCGGTGGACAACTCTTTTCCTAGGACCCTTTCAGAAAATATAATAGAAATAAAAAAATAATAAATCTAAACTTCATTTAAAACCAAACATATAAATTGTAAAATAGCTGCAGGTATCTATAACCAAGTAAAAGATATTCCTTTACTCCAACTTGTCCATGTTTCCCAAAACAATTTTTAATTAAGCTTTATATTATAAAGCGGATTTTTTATACTTAAAATTTTAATAATAAAGCATTTCGTACGTCTCAGCCGAGGCGCAAATATTTTTCGGCCGCTAATTTATAAGACCGATTTGTTATTCAAACATAAACATGGTTTTTTAATTAAATCTACCAATCAAAAAACGACACGCATTTTTATTGAACACTTCCAATTCAATTCACAAAGTACCTATTATATATTTGTTTATATAAAAAAAGTATATTTAAGTACAACCATAAAACTAAATGGAAACACAAAGTAGGCAAATGCATTGAGTTATACAACACATAAATCAATGGGCAAATGTAAAAATGCTGGAGGCAGGCAGCCCTATCGCATGTTTACGTACCGCACGGCTGTAGGATTTATTTCAAAGAAACGGCCGAGTTACAATACTGTATAAATAATATACCGTGACGTAAGCGCATCGGTTGGTAGGTACTCAAATAATATTATGTTTGCGGCGAAATACGAACGAAGTCGACACGGCCACATCGTACGGACGCATACAGCGTAATGCCGCCCGCACTCTGCGCACGCCCCTTTATCATAAAAGTCACACAATTTTCGGAATTATTTCAATTAAAAAAAGAAAAACGAACTTAAAAATTTAAATAAAACGTGGAGAATATAGATTTTTTAATTATCTATCCATTAGTGTAATCCTCAAATATATGTAATCAAGAATCCGGGCTTAAGCCCGGTTGCACTTCCCGTGCCCGGTGTGATAAGTGTGAAATGAAAAGTAACAAGTGAACAGCAGCCTGCTCTATTCTCTGACAAGTATCTCTGCCCCGTGCTAACCTTGCTTTCCCCTCAGTCACCCACCGCCGCCCCCGTTCTAGCGGCGACGTCAGAACATACACGTGTTGGTTATAATAGTTATTAAATAAAATATTTTTGTTATGTATATTGTATACATACTCGTATTTATAATAATTTTGTTTTATTACGAAGTGGTCAGATAGCAATAACATTAAATTTGTCAAGGAATTATTGAAACACGAATGTTTATACAATATTAAATCGCTGAATTTAAAAAAATAAAATGATGCGAGACGCTGCTATGCCCTCAATATCTCAATCATTGGGAATGACCGGTTTCGGCGCAAAGGAAGTAGGTATATGCGAAGTTAAGAAGCATTAAGTTTACATATTACCAAGAAAAGAAGAAAATTAAAGACTCCTGTAGGTCAGGGCTGGAGCCATATTATTTTCAGGCTTAAATTTTTTCCTTGTTATAGCTTTAAGACACATTTTTCTCACTTAAGCTATTTTAGGAAATTGGTGTGCACCAATATCTTTGCAATAAGGCACTTCACACTTCTTTTTAATCAAAAAAAAGGTAAAATTGTATGATGAGATACCAGTTTTAAACTTTAAAGCTGTGCTAGCGCCTCTTTGACAATTACCAACCCAATTTCACACTCGAAGATTTCACATAATAATGACATCCAATTGCCACATGTGTGAACACCAACTTGCTACTTTCACTTGTCATTTGTCACTTGTCATTGCCACTCGCACTGTCACTTCTCAAAATGTAAACCGGGCTTTAAAGTACACACTAAGCACTTGTCATTTGTCAGTCGCACTTTAGGCCCGGTTTACAATTTGAAAGTGCGTGTGGCAAGTCCAACTGACAAATGACAAGTGCTTAGTGCGTCTGAACAGGCAGTGACAAGTGATAAGTGGGAATAAAATAAGCACTCGTCACTTCTCAAAATGTAAACCGGGCCTTAGATATAATATTGTGTACAGGTAAACTGTACGGAAACAAACTTTTTTTAAAGTTTGGCTCCCATTTTGCTTAGAGTAGGTTAAAGGCACCCATTACCAATAACGATGGGTGATATATTAATATAGTAAAAATGAAGTATTTAAAGAAATAAATGGCGCAAATTTTTATTTTTTTTTATTTCTATAAATTTACAAATTCAGATTGACTTGTAGTATTTCGGGCAAGACTCTTAAATAACTTAAATCTATAATAGCCGTCCTAATTACTGTACTAACTCCACTCCATACAGTACTGTGGCATCACTTTCCAAACGCACCAGCACTCGCACTAGATTGAGCAGTACCTCCGCCGCCACCAGAATTTATGCTAATACTCTGGGCTATGCTAATAGATCCTTGTGGTATTTGCCCATATCCGAGCCCACCAAATCCTCCTCCGGGGCCAAACTCGACAGGCCTTCCGAATCCACCGGGACCACCACTAAATCCACCGGGGCCACCGCCGAAACCTTCCGGGCCTCCACCGAAACCTCGCGGACCACCACCGAAACCAGGTCGTCCACCAAAGCCTCGGTGGCCGCCTCCAAATCCACCGCCTCCAAAATTACCGAATTCAGGCCTATGGTGATGATGATAATGCGGATAACCACCTCCGAACGATCCCGCTTGTGCGTTTGCTTCACTAAACCCGAATTGAGGCGACCGCACTACTCGGATTCCTATAAAAATATTTTACAACAAATTAAATACTTACTTTTTTTAATAATTATATATTATTAGGCCGTTTGGTGGCGGGATAAAACAAGTCGTGAAAGGCGATAACGAAAAAGAACAACTTTCTGACCACAAGCCAAAATAATACAAACCAGCAGTTGCCAACCTGGACTGCCACGTGTGCAACTGTAGCAACTATCCCCCATAAGTAATCCCCTCCCTGTGAACTTTTGATTGTTTGTAACGAATGAATGGTATAATTAACAGTTTCTACTACTATTTTTATTGAAATAAAGATTATTTTGCATACAGTACACTTTGCATATTATAATAATACGTGGTAGAGCCATGCTGCAGTTACATTAGTGGTACAGTTGTAGTACGAATGGGTCGGCTCGACCGGGGAAGGACTACGCTCTCACAGAATACCGGCGTAAAATAGTATTTTAATGCTGCTGTGTTTCGTACGGTGAGTGTAAAGAACCGAAGACCCTTTTTACTGGAAACGAGGCATTCCATCTTAGTCCTCACGGGTGACAACGCATTTGTTTTTTGATTCGTAATCGAGGATAGATGTAGATGTCTAGGGCCTATGCTATAAAAAAGTGCAGGATAGATACACAGGATTATAGTATACGAATATGTGCGGAAGCACGGCAGTCCGACACGACCGGAAAGAGTTCAGGTAGCAGGCACACGGCTTTACGTATTTACCAGGGCACGGCACGGGGGTGAAATACCCCCAACTCTCTGACTCCAGGTTGCTACTGAGAATTTCTTTATAGAAATTCTTATAACTCATTTTGTACAGATCTGGGATTATTACCACTTCTTACTCACTTTTTAGACTTAAGTTATTTAAAAACTAGTATAATAATGCATAAATATTACTTTGACCATCTCTGAGACAGAATATAAGGAAACTTAATACGGCGTGTAAAATGCGAAAAACATGACGTACACATTATAATTACACGTATATATTTATTTAATTTCAATACTTAGAAACGTACCTCCATTGACGCTTACAATAAAAACGACAAATATAATTTCTATTAATCGTACTTTTCGTTTCATTGTGAATCTCTAGAAAATCGAATCCTAATACTGACGCTATGCTGATTTGGTTCTAATTTATACATGACAACAAAACTTCCCACTTTAAAGTTAAGTGACAATATTAGCACAATTTACGAATATAGAGTACTCAATACACAGAGACTTCTACATTTATATTTATAAACTTTATATGTATTTTATAAACGTCTTTATTAAATATATTATATATTAAAATTTACATCTGCGCAATGTCACACCATTTGATTGAATCTTTTGTTGAAATAAAGATAGATATGATTTTAGAGTTTTACTCTGCTCCGTTTGTGATGCTAGCAAAAGGTTTTTTTGCATCTGTATCGGCCATAGTTCTTTAAAAGAACTGGGTATTCTAAATCAAACGCTACACTACACGTTTCGTACCAACAATACAAATTACTAACCTATAACGATAGTCAATATTTACTTTGAGCGTAACGGAAAAGATAACAGAAGTCTCGATTGGATTTTCCGCTTAAACTCGTATAGAACGAATAATTTTAATAGAATACTTGTTTGTTTTTTTTTTCAAATACTTTTTTTATAGAATAAAAATGACAAACGAGCACATAGTCTACCTGGTGAATGTCCAAATGCTGTGGCCCACTGTCATCTACATCTATCCTCGATAAGATAAGACTCAAAATGTAGATTCGTATTTACTTGTTACCTCTGATGACTTAGATGGAATTTCTCGTTATCAGTAAAAGGATCTTCGGTTCTCTACTCTCACCATACGAAATACAGATGCCATTTTACACTAGAAATTTTGTGAGCGCGTGGTGCTTCCGTGATCGAGTCGACTCTTACGTGCTACAATCATAATATAGCTACAGCGTGGCTCTACCTAAGGTAAATTTTTACTTGGTAGAGCCACGCTACAGCTATATTAAAGTTGTAGCACGATTTGGTTGGCTCGACCGGGCCAGGACCACGCTCTCACAGAATACCAGTTTAAAATAGCAGCTTATACTGCTGTATCACGTATGATGAGTGTAGAAAACCGAAGACCCTTTTTACTGGAATCGAGGCATTCCATCTAGTGCTCAGTGGTGACAACGCATTTGCATTTTGATTCTTTATTGAGGATAAATGTGGATATCTATGAGCCACAGCATCCATTTACCATCAGGTGAACTGTGTGCTCCTTTGTCACCCTATTCTATAAAAAAGCAATTTCGGAAAAATGCCAGAACATACAGACAGACAGGCCGACAAAAATTCAATTTATTTTTATAGATTAAAAAAAATTATGTTTATTTTATTCATGTTCTAATAATATAACATTCTTATAGTTTTTATTGTACTTGTGAAAATCGGCAGCACAAAGGTAGCATTTCCGACCGTAATGATTTTATACTTTTTATAGAATCTTAAAAGAAAAAAACTTTTTGACAGTAAACCATGACCTATCACATCGCTTTAAAATTATTTATTACTAAGTCATGAACAGTCATTAATTATCGCGAGACGAATATTACGATGACGGAAGAGTATAGGAAACGTGGTCACAAGCGTTTCCAACGGCACGTAAACAACCTTATTTGGAAATCTTATCTGCAAAGACAGTAAGTACGTTACATAAATTCTAAAAACGCACCTACCCACGTAGTGTTGAATGGAAATGTCCGAAGTCTAGATTTACATGCGTCACTTAGAATTAATGGGGTTAGGAAACGTGGCAGAGAATATAATATTATCCATGAAATATGAAAATTATTCCACGTAAAGATATATGAACCATTTCTTATGGCCACATACACAATCATGTTATAAATACAGTAGCGCTATCAAGTGAACTCATACGCAATATCAGTCAATGGAAATAATAATTGTTGAATCAATTATTGCAAAATTTGCAATTCAAGCACTAAAATTACTATCTCTCGACCTTATGAGAGTCCAAGTGGCATTTGCCTTCCACCTCAATTGGTCTTTAGGTGTTTACATGTAATAATGATATTAAGCTTTTTATAGAATAAGGTTCACAAACCTGTTCGTGCTACAACCATAATATAGCCACAGCGTGGCTCAACCACGTATGAGGTGTTAGATATTTAATCTCTTTCTCTATCGATATATGTAGTAGGTACATAGGTACATACGATAATAATGTCTTCCAGACCTAATTTCAATTAAAGTACGCGAGTATATTCGCAAGCACACGTGCACTCTTCACGATCTGAGAGAGATGAAGTGCAAGATCAACGAGTTAACGTGCTTTCTGACACACGGTGGTGAAACACAAAAAACTTTCTGCTAAAGGCTGATTTTGGCCTGACCATGGGATTCGAACCCGGGACCTCATAATCAGCTATCCTCAACATTTTTGAATTGATGGTCATCAAAGACTTCAGGTTGCTTTTATGCAAAGCACGCACACAAACACAAATAAAAAAAATACCTACCAGAACCTATTGCTGTATTGTCTCTGGTCGCAGTACTGAGTCTGAAATCAGATATAGACGGCCGCGATGTCATATACATTTAACATTAATTACATGTATATTTTTGTTTGTTTTTTATACACAACAAAAAAAAACTGACGTTCTCATTTTTTGAACTGTTCATTTTTATTTCGTCTGGCACGCTTAACCGAAACATCAATGATGTACACTTTCTAAAATATCATATTTATACTTGTACTTTTCCAGACGGAGATGGCCAATTTTAATCTTTGAGACTTTATTTGCCGGCATATTTTTCATAATGGCCGTGTTTATCGCAAAGCCCGTGTTCCTTACACCAATCCAAACTGAACCGCATCCGCCTCTAACCGCGCGTGATCTTCTGGGATCTTTGCACCATCGAAGCATCGTTGGATTCGCACCGAAGAGTTCTCCTTTTGATAAAATCATGATTAGAGCGGCTGATCTCTTAAACATCGGTAAGAATTATTTCCTAGTAATTTTATGACTACGTATTTCTGTTTTGAGAAACATTTTTACTTATACTAATATAATAAAACGGAAGAGTTTTTGTTTTGGTTTTTTTTTTTGCTTATACACCCTAATCTCTGGGACTACCAGTCCGATTAAAAAAAATATTTTTTGTATATGGTAGCTAACTTCAATAGTAGAGGCTGCTAGTACGACGCCCAACCCTAGCCTCCTGATGAAAACCAAGAGAAACCAGTGGTGAACGTGTACATAAGCGAAGTGTCATGTCCGACGACTCAGACACGTGATATACGCGAATGAAACCGCGGGGCACAGCCAGTACATTACAAGATATGCTTACATCGCCATCCATCGGAGAATATTAAATATTTTAGTAAATTACCATAACCGTTTTCAGTACGACGGATTCAAATTAATAAGATACTTAACACCTTAAATGTGTTCGTTGTCATCTATATCAGAGATTATCAAACTTATTTCTTTTACCGCCCCTTTGAAAATCAATTATTTTTCAGCGCCCCCAAATTTTTATACACTCCTAAAACTTAAAAACCACAATTTCGTTACTTTAAATAATTTAGTTATAATGTTGCTATATTAGTGATTCTGGTGTTTAAACTTACATTCTAAACTAGACATTATTACCAGTGAGAGCAATTAAAACGCAACTTTATAATATTAAGAATATATTTTAATCAAATTAATAGAAACATTATAGATAGATAATCAATTTTAGTTTTAAAACAAATCTAATTACATAGATGAATTTGATGATTTTTAACAAATTTGTTGATTTATGTCAGTTCATTTTGCATAGATCGTACCATAAACAATAATTTAATTTTTTTTAAAAAGCTGAAGGTACTCCGGGTTTAACAATGACATCGGGACGTCAGTCATCTCAGTCCCCCGTGACCATGGGTGCTGGAAAGCACCCGAAACGTCGGGAATTAAAAATAATCAAAATTAAACTCGATAAAATCCGTAAAAGTAGTTTCAAACGATGTGTAGTGTTTGCGTAAATATAAGAAATCATTTAGTTTGTTGATATCAGGTTCGATTTTACGCAAAAACATGTAAACGATTTCTTTTTTAGTAAGCAGCAGCGATGTCACAGCGCTAAATCCATGTTCACGCAAATATGACAATGGCAATGCTCGAAAATGCTCAAAAACGATCGACCACAATCCAGGGTACAACTGTGGAATTGACTTCGGTATCCAAAATCCTTGGTAGCCATTTTTAAATTTGATTTTTATTTTCTCGTTCGCTGTCAGTTCTATAAGTTCTTCTTCCAGTTTGAATTTAACACTCAGTCTGGTATTTCCAATTTCAAAATATCCTGGAATCTTTCAATGAAATCACTGTGGAGATTTTCTACATGTTAGCAGTAGACAAGCAATTCGTCGTTGTTGCAGGATACTGATAAATTTAGAAAATTTTCGGAACTCACGTCTGCTGATATTCTTCTTGCGTAAGAGCAGCTTGGCTACAAAAGAAGCGACGACATTTTTTGTTTTTATTAAGTTCAAGTCATCGCCTTGAATTGGAGATTCATATCATTAAGCAATTTACAGAGGTCTGTCAGGTATGCAATATCATTCTTTGATGTGATGAGGTTGACACGCAAATATGTGTCTTTGTTTTCCAAGAACTCTACGATTGAGTCAAACAGATTGTAAAATCGAGTCAGACAAATTCCTTTTGATAGCCAACGCACTTCTATGTGCAAGGTCAATCGGTTGTAATCTTCACCATTTGTAACAAAAAGCTGATTAAATAATCTGCCATTTAAAGAGTCGTTTCGGATTTTATTGTCTGCTCTGACGACATGTTGCAATGATTAAAACAGTTGTTCACTTAAATTTCTAGCAACCATCGAACTAATCGAAGATAAGAGTTGGTGTTCAATATATAAGTCAAAGTTTTTTCTTTACCTTCAGATAGACCAAACCATTTATTATCAAAAATAAGTTCTGGTTTTTAATTAAAGGACTTCTTCTATCTATTCTTCTATCTATCTGTTATAAATTAAAAATATATAATTATGTTTTACGTATGATTAACTTGTATTACAAGATAATTTTTATACGTGGCAGAGCTATGCTGCAGCTATATTATGGTTGTAGCATGTATAGGTCGGCTCAACCGTGGTAGGTCCACATTCTCACAGAATACCACCGTGAAATGGCAGCTAAATATTGCTGTGTTTCGTATGGTGAATGTAGAGAACCGAAGACCCTTATTTTCTGGAAACGAGGCATTCCATCTTAGTCCTTAGGGGTGACAACGCATCTGCGTTTTGATTCTTAATCGAGGTTAAATGTGGATGTCTATGGGCCGCAGCATCAAGTGGACTGTGTGCTCGTTTGTCACCCTAATCCTATAAAAAAAATCGTGTGTGCTGACCGCAAGGGCAACGTTTTTGTCGTCACACTAATCGCTGATTGGGTTTAACAGGCTTTTGTTATTTTTAACCAGTATTCTCCTAGCGCGTAGAAATTTAAATGACTGAAATGTTAAGTGCAGATTTTTTTGTTTCTAATGTACTCACTCGAGTATTCGAGGGCTATCTTGAGATAATACCACGCATTTGAACCAAATTATTTCATTTATCAAAGAAATGGAATAATTTGTGAATAATTTGTTGAAGTTGTAAAGATTGAATAAAACTATTTATACGGATTTTATCGCTTTCATGTACTCACCTCCTTAATTAAAAATAAGTTAATTAAACGTGATAAAATCCCTATAAATAGTTTTATTTAATGTGTAGTGTTCGCGTAAATTTAATAAGTTACAAGGATATAATTTTTTATTATATTCTTTTTTATTATATCTTAGCAGGTGAAACGTGGGGAATTAAAAATAAGTTATTAAACGTGATAAAATCGCTATAAATAGTTTTATTCAATGTGTAGTGTTCGCGTAAAGTTAAGAAGTTACAAGGATATAATTTTTTATTACATTCTTTTGCGGAAATCTTAGCAGTTGAAACGTGGGGAATTAAAAATAAGTTAATTAAACGTGATAAAATCCCTATAAATAGTTTTATTCAATGTGTACTGTTCGCGTTTCCCTAGAAAAAGAAGTTACAAGGATATAATTTTTTATTACATTCCTTTGCAGAAATCTTAGCAGTTGAAACGTGGGGAATTAAAAATAAGTTAATTAAACGTGGTAAAATCCCTATAAATAGTTTTATTCAATGTGCAGTGTTCGCGTTTCCCTAGAAAAAGAAGTTACAAGGATATAAATTTTTATTACATTCCTTTGCAGAAATCTTAGCAGGTGATTCGGAGGATGATCTGAACAACATTCTGTACAGCCGTTCCAAAGGGACGCCCATAAATAACTCTGTTATATGGATTGTGTGGGAGGAAAAGGTTTCCAAAACAATTTGTTTTAACAACTTTTTAAAATTGATTATTACTACTTGTTTTTTATTGTCTATTGCTCTTTAGTCCCCATCAATCCCAATATCCCCCGAAAACAACACCAATCTGAGTTTGGCATTTCTTAAAAGATTTTCCGTCTTTTTCTTAAAAGATTTTCATACGTGCTAGAGTCACGCTGCAGCTATATATAATGGTTGTAGAACGAGATTGGGTCGTTTCGAACGAGGAAGGACCATGCTCTCGTAAAATACAAACGTAAAAGAGCAGCTTCATACTGCTGTGTTTCTTATGATGAGTGTAAAGATCAGGAGACCCTTTTTTACTGGAAACGAGGCATTCCATCGTAGTCCTCAGGGGTGACAACGCGTCTACGTTTTGATTCTTAATCAAGGATAAATGTAGATGTCTATGGGCCACAGCATCCACTTACCATCAGGTGGACTGTGTGCTCGTTTGTTACCATTATTCTATAAAAAAAATTGTCAGTAAGAGCTTCGTCCGTTAATCGACATAGTCATCATCTGTAGGAAGAACTTGACTCGACATAATCTATTTTTCCTGGGGTGTAACTGGGGAATAAGAGCGTATCAATCGCCCCAAAAATAAATTAATAATTTCCTCCAGGTCAAATTTCGGTCACGGCGGTCAGTCTCAACGGAGACTATACAATAAAGACGCAACTATCCGCATAAAAATACAATGATGTGTCTTACCTGGATTGAAGAGCATCTCCCGCCCTCCCTCAAATGCGTGTACTAATCCCGTTACCACCAATCCGAGCACCACCACTCCCAACACCACCACTCCCAGCACCACCACTCCTAACACCACTATCCTAGGAAAGACACACCATCGACGACAATACGACACGTGTTTCGCCTCTACACAGCACTTCAGTGATGTAGACTGTTCGGCTGCTGACCGCTAAGTAAGAAGATTATCCATCTGTGTAGAACAGGATTACAGTGCCTGGTGCCAGAGTGAATGCGCAAGCACAGGTGTACTTTTCAATTCCCTCACTCTCATAGCCCGATGGTGCCGTTCCATCCGACACGACCGGAGAGAAATCACCCAAGTAACACATCAAAGCAGTATAACGGCCGAGTTACAGCATTTCACGCTCAGGAGAGGAGTAACTTGGTTGTGGATGCTCAGCGAGAGATTCTCCATTACTAGGGGTCTGTACCCTCTTGAGTCTCTTATTCCGCTACCATGTTGATGGGGGGATCGGGCCTCCGGCTACCTACACTCACAGCAGCTTGTTTGCTTTTTTCCTTAATATTTTAGTTATAATATATGACTTTGTATTTTTATCTCTGTCCTCCTAGTTTTGGTTTTATAGGGCGGCAAAGCATTAGGTGACGATATCACCCTCACGCACCTTACGACGTATAAAAGCTTCACTTAACTTTAATTTGTTTCATATTCACTGTTAGCGATCTTATATTAAACCGCTTAGCCACTAGGCTAATACATTATTATTACCATTATTACAGAAAGCAAATACCTGGAAATTCAGCATAAGAAGTACAGAGCAAGCGCGGCTGGCCATCAAGTCTGACAGCGGCTCTCCAAGCCCGCACCTTCGCGCCGGCTTCCTTGGTGTGCAGATGGCAGTCAGCCAGTCAATTCTGGAGCACGTTTCCGCCGCGCCGCCTAATTTTAATGTAATTTTACACTTTTTCTTTATTAGTATGTAACTGACATAGAAATTGGTTAATAGTGTATAGTCTGAACTAAAATTAGGTCTGTCCAGCGTAATATCCTCCAATGTTTGTCTCTTAATTACAGGCTTAACAAGCGGGTCACCATACTTAGGTCTTTTAGAATAATTATGAAGTAGAACTAGACCATCAAGTGTCTTAATATGCTTTATTTCATACATGTTTACACACAGCACACAGCCATACTTTTGTATTTAAAATTGAACTTTACTGATATTATTAAAAAAAAGGTAACACAAGCATTCACAATTCCCGACTATCACCATTTACGATACCAACGCCAATGTATCATATTGAGACTAGAGATGGGCCGAATATGGGTTAAACCGATTTGAATATTCCGCCGAAAGTTCGGTAAACTTTTTTAATGCGTATAGGAAAATAGTGGAATAATTTTCCGGCTATCCGTCCGAATTTAATCTGGGCGTCTTTAAGGCAAAAGTGAATAGGCTTTTATTAAGACAGCTTTTGCTAAGACAGTGCAATTTAACATCTAATGGTGCATCCACACATGCCCGGCGGCACGGCCGGCGGCCGATCCGGCGGCCAGGCCGCCGGCCATCCCCTGCGGCACGCGCGGCTTTTGGTTGCCGGCGGCAGTTTGCTTGCGGCTTCGATACGGAGTGATAGTGTTGTAGTATTCGTGAATAACATAATTTCATATACTTAAACAACGAAATGACAGAATTTAACTTTGATGATAGTGCAGTACTTTTACTAATAGAAAAGTATCAAGAAAATGAACTATTGTGGAACCCAAGGCATATGGATTTCAAAAATCGCAACAAAAGAAATGATGCTTTTAGAGATATTGCTTTTGTGTTCAACATAGCATCATCAGAAATTGAGAGAAAACTGAAGAATTTATCCAGCCATTATTTTCGAGAAAAACGCAAATATGAAGAATCTAAAAGGAGTGGATCTGGACGGGAAGATGTTCAATTGCCGAAATGGTTTGCTTATAAGGCGTTATCATTTCTTAATAACAAGAATGCACCGGTACCGACTCTGAACAGCCACACATCTAAAGTACGTACCCATCAAATTCTTATAATTAAGTAGACTAGTTGGTCGCCAATTGGTCGAAAATCGACCATAATTAATTTATAATACATTATTTCAATAAGTAATATTTTCGTAAATAGGGGTACAAAGTTTTTGCCTCGCGTATTAATATTAGATACCTACTACCTACTGTACTGTGTTAGGGCAGGTTAAGATAAACCTATCATTTAAACACTACTTTTATAAAGAAATATAAATGTTTATTAACATCGATAAAACTAAAACAATAATGCGCGGTGCGAGTTACGAAAAGACATGCATTCGCCGTAGATGTTAAGCTTGTTTGTAATTAATTATAAGATTTCCTTTTTATTTTCAGTCAGTTCTTCTCAAGATAATATCACTCCCCAGACTACGCTACCTTCGACAAGGACTTCACGAAAACGAAATATAGAGAGAGATCCTGAAGTTGATGAAGCTTTGCAATTACTGAGGGAGATTACATCTGATGCAAGGCAACGCGATGATGCTGCTATATTTGCAGACTATATAAGTAGCAAGTTGAGGAAGATGGATCGTTACACGATGTGTACAGTACAACATCAAATCCAGACTATTGTCTATGAAGCAGAAATGAGAATGGGTTCGATGTATTTTGATAGGACCAATAATACTACTCAGCCTCTTCGTTAATGTTCGTCCAAAATACTTCAAAGGCCAACCTACAACGTCAGCAATGTCACCGTCGCCCTCAACTTCGCGCTCTTACTCTGTTCAATCAGACTATGAAATGCAAAACAGCCCAGATGTCAACACAAGTGACAGTCTGTTACTAGTCTTGGAAAATAATTTAACCGAAAATAGTGTAATAGATTAAAATAAATGTTTATATTTTCGGTTAAATTATTTTATTTTATTAAAAGCTTAAAATTATTGATAAGTGTTTCAGATTCCTAAATAAAACAATTATTTGAATAATCACATTTTATTTCTTTCAAACATTATATTTGATATTGCTACGGAAGCTGACCTTGTTCCGATAGAAAATAACATTTTAGCTTATTTCTAATTACACTTGGTTCTACATTTAGGGCGATCTGCGCAATATTTTGTTGCTCTTCGTTCAAAACTCCATCAGTAGTTCTTTCATTTCTCTTCATAAAATTATGCAGATGCACACAAGCCAACACGACAATTTTTGCTTTCTCATTTTGTAAACCAATGCGTGAATGCAAAATTCTGAATTTATTAGATAAAATGCCAAACGCGTCTTCTACAACCATGCGCCCGCGACTAATTCTGTAATTAAAAACCCTCTCAGGTGATCCTTTTGCATGATATCCAGAAAATGGTTTTATTATATTCTGTGAGATGGGGAAAGCATCGTCATCGATGAAATAAAAAGGTACAGGTGTATTTCTCCCTTGTAATGGAATCGCTTGTGGCAGACTTAAAGTACCATCTCGTATCAATATCAAATAAAGTTGAATTTCGTAGAACTCCACCATCAGATATTCTGCCCTGACATCCAATGTCCACATATAAAAAGTTATAATTGGCATCGATTAAAGCTAGCAAAACAATACTGAAATATGACTTATAGTTAAAAAAACTCGGAACCGCTATTATTTGGACATAGTATACGTATATGTTTCCCATCGAGGGCACCTACGCAATTAGGTACATTCCATTTCTGCAGGAAACTCCGGGCCACTGATAGCCATTCTCCCCGTGTATTCGGTATCTGTAAAATAAAATTGTTTGTGATATTTGTGTGTGTAGTTTTAGTTATAAGTATGTAAAATGTGTGTGAAGTTCCAGGTACAGTATAAAATCATAGACATTATAATTCGACTAGGAATAGATACGTCACTTAGGAAACCGTTGTCCTGTGAACTCTCCTGGCAAGAATCTTTTAGTTAAAATGTTTGTGTCTTGTACATGCCATAACTGTGTGAATAATAATAATAATAATAATATATAATAAATAATAATCTGTTTTGTTTTCTAATATAGGCGTTCGGTTTCTAACTACCTAATGTGTTATGTATATTTGTACTTACCCTTAAATAATTGGATAATGTAGATACCAAAGCTTGACAAACATCTGGAATTATTAAAGAAATAACTTGTGGAGACACTTTAAACAGTGTACCGAGTGAAAAATAAGAGTCTCCTGTAGCCAGGTATCTCAAAGTATTTGCTAGTCGATCGGAAGCTGACACAGCATTTCTCCAGCGGGTGTCAGTTTTTGATATCATGGGTCCAGTTAAATTCAGTAATATTTCAAATTCTTCACTAGAGATCCTTAGAAAAGTGTTAATAATATTTCTTCGGTTTATGTCGTCCTTTCTAAAATATTCAAGTATGAGGGACACCTTAGGCCTATTTCGTAGACTTGGTCTGGCCCAATGTCTTCGTTTGATTTTGCGGTTCTTTTTTATGAATAATAACATCTTGCGATACACGCAACTATATTATAGTCCAACATCTTCCAATCCTACGTACACGACTAACTTCGACGAAAGTCACAACACTACTGCGTAAATTGCAACCGCATCTGCAGGCCACCGGTAAGGCCGGCGGCAAATTTAGCGGCAAGGCAGTCTGAAAGCCAGCGGCAAAACCCGGCGGCATAAGCCGGCGGCATGTGTGGATACGCCATAAGGCTGCAACACCACTTACCACCAGGTGGGATTGATGCATTTAATCGGTTTAATGATGAAATTACTCCGTACACTAAAACTATCAATAATATTACTGTTTCAGTAGAAACAGTGATGTAGTTTAAAAATACAATCAATAGTCCCAAGAAATAATACTTCAAAACAAATTATAAATTCTATGCGAACGAAGTCGCGGGCACAGCTAGTTATTAATTATGAATAATTTATGATCAACCTCTAGAAATGATATTATCATCATAATAATGCCATACTACTATGATGTAATATTAAAGCATCTAATCAGTTCATCTTTATCAGTCATTATAAAACCGCCATATTAAGTATTAAGTAGGTAAATATATTAAATTATTTGATACGGTAGGAAAGAATTTTGTTACATATTATAAAATCCACGAAGGAAAATCTTTATATTATAAGAAAAAAATTGTATAATCTTTCAAAATTCTTGAAATTAAAAATAATTCTTTGAACAAAAATAATAAAAACTATTTGCCGAAACCCGGGATCGAACCAGGGACCTTTAGATCTTCAGTCTAACGCTCTCCCAACTGAGCTATTTCGGCTGTTGACGGTTTGTTAAAATTTTGTATTATATCATTCGAATATTTTTTGTTTTATATTTAGTTAATAATAGCAGTAATATATTATAAGCTGTTTAAATCTCACTACTCACTGCTGAATCTCTTATTTAAGAAAACTTTTCAAGACAAAGTAATGTCTCGGGCTACTTTGCCAGTGCCACACGGCCCCAATGATAGTAAACAATATTGTAAATCACAATTTAATATTGTCTAAATAATTATGATTATTAATTAAATTTAATAAACGTTAGAAAATATTAAATTCATTAATTTAAAAAAAAACTAAAGGCATAAGGACAAAGAAAATTAATAGATATTATAGATATGAACAGTTAATTGAAATAATTTTTGTAACCATACAGCTCATTTTTCCAAACCTAATTTAAATTGTTCATTGTTTTACTTACTTATCTTTAATTACTCTTCTTGGACGACCCTTAAAGTCGTAACTCTTTCAAGTGATTGTACGAGCTGGATGGCTATATATAGATCAAATGCTACTTTATCTCTTTTTATTACACCGAAACGACTAGCTTAACTAACAGCCTACATCTGGAGGTGGATTTTGCAGTAATTACTCAATAAAAGAAATTAGAAACGGAGGCAGTTCCTGTTATCAATTGCTATCCATTAGTCTCGCTAAAACTCGAAAACGGCTCGAACGATGTTGATGAATAGTTTTTGTGTACGTTTAAATCCCTGGAAGGTTGGACAATTAGATCCGGTAGATGGCGCTATTGTCAAGATCCACAAATCACCCGTGTGAGACCGGTACGAATAGCTAGTGATCTTGACAACCTCATGATCTTGTTTCATTTTTTCAGTTAAGCTTAGTGTCGATGCCGGTTTCACCGCTGATGCAACAGAAGACTGTAAAACAGTCTCTAGCTGGAATCCTGTTGTGCTTCACACTGGCTCTCTTACCGCCTGTGCTCGAAATTGAAGCGCTAGTCGTCAAGGAATCTGTTACCCGTTTTAAGGTAATATAAGATCAAATATGAAATAACCAATTGTCTTCCTCTTAACCAACAGCCCGTCAAAGTCCACAGCTGGACATGGGCGGACTGAAAATCGCGCCACCAGACGTCACGCACTTTTGACTATATTGCTCGTCGCCAGACAGTATTTCACATCTATGTAAACAAGATGTTTATACAAGAATGACTCGATTAAAGTAAAGGATTAACCAATGATGAACAACCACTCCGACGCGGTTTTGGTACGCCCTAAATAGAGAATCGTAGACTCTTTTCACTGGAAACACGGCATTCCACTTAAGTCTTTTTTTATGTAGAATAAGGGTGACAAGCAAGCCATTCTTGCTACATATACTTATATACAGCTGATACGTGGCCCTTCCACGTATGAATAAGAACATAAATCTCGTCGATAGATTGGTTGCTTGGCATTTTTTTCTATTATTTTGACTTGTTTTTGGGAAGATTCTGCTACCCATCTCCTGTTTTAGATGTCACTTCATATGTCACCCACCAAACGATATTTATTTTTAACGTTTTAATTTTTTTAAATGCAAACGCTTCCAGCGCGCCCTACGTCTCCGCAACGTATCGTACCCCTGCATCTACATTGGGTGGATAATGTACGCGTACTTCACGGCGCTGCCCATCTGCCTCCTGGCCGGCATCACTCTCATCCTCATTTTCCGCTGGATTCATCTTATCTTTGCCCTTATCACCATCCTTGCCTACAAAACCGTTGTGATTATGCTGGCTTTGATCATGGCGATGTTTCACAATAAAGGTACGTAAATATGGAATACAGACAAGACGTAAGAGGATGAAGTAATTGACTGTATTAAATTCAAATCCAATAAAAAACTGCCAACTATAATTGGAGTAAACATCTCTCCCCCTTATAATAAAAATAAATTAAAGTAATTAAACGCGATAAAATCCGTAAATAATAGTTTTATTCAATTGACTGTTATTATTATTTAGGGAACAACCTTTTTCTATACACAGAAAAATATTTCATTGTGAATACAAAATGTTGTTCATTTATAACGAGCTATCAAAATTCCATAGCATAGAAGGCATCTTAAGGCGAGAACTCGTTATATTTACCTCAGTATTTTACTATTTTAAATGCTGCATGATTTATTATACATACAAAAGTAATAAACATAAATAAACATAAACACTCACACCTGTCACTCAGAGGGATAGGCATAGACTATTCGCTACTAAGCTATTTCTAATTTGTCTTGTGTTGTTAATTGTAAACACGATTGTAAGCTATTATTTGAAAAAAATAGTCCCGCTGGGTTTCTTGCTGGTTCTTCCCAGGACAGAGGTTTCTTTTACGAACCAGTGGTAAATGAAAAAATTGACTTTCAATAACAATTGTTTATAATCTATATTGAATAAAAAAGTTTCTGTTTCTGTTTCTACTACGGACTTCCATTTGGCACGATCCTGACACACCTCTCTCGCCTCCATTACATCCATACACGCTCGCATTTTCAATGTATCGCCAACTTGGTCGATAAACTTTCGTCTAAGGCGTCCCTTCCCGACTCGGCCGTTCACATCTGCAGTATAAATTTGCTTTGTCACTCTTTCCTCGTTCATTCTTTTTACATGACCAAACCACCGAAGCATTCCTTTCTTAATCCTGGTTACATCATTTTGCACACCACACAATTTCTCACCCTGTCACTCAGATTCAGCCATAGCATACTCCTTAAAGACTGTATTTCTACAGCATGTACTCTCTCGTACTTCTTCTGCCACATCCAACTTTCACTGCCATACATTAAAGTAGGGATTAACAGAGCATTACGAATTACAAGAAAAGAACGTTGAAAAAGAAAGAAAGTTTAATATGTTTGTGTTATGTTAACAAAAGTAATAGACTAAGTAAATAATCTAATAACGTCATCATAGGATGTCATAGTATATAATAGGATATCATAATATAGTCCTATTCCTCACTGTATTGTGCCTTAAGCGCTGGCAGCGCTTCCTCGCCTAATCACTTTACTTAGTTTCTGCGCGAGACAACATTGCAATTAAAAAAACTTCAGGCGATAAACGTCAAGGTGGTAAATCTGAGCTCACTGACCTATTTGGATCAATAGTCATTTTAAATATTAAAACTTTACAGACGAATTCCCTTTTCCCTTTTTATTGCGTAAGGGTTAACTTGTGAGCTATTATTTCACACTTGTATTATGTGAAAGGGTGGTCCTCCCTTGTGGAGCTGACCCATTCGTGCTGCAGCCTGGCTGTACAACGTAAAATACGGGTGAATCACGTGTCAGTACCAACGAAATTGTTTACTGCAATGTAAGTATTGATTTACCAGTTGTTCGACGGCAAAGAAAAACATGGTGAGGAAACCTGCATGCTTGAGAAATAAAATATAGCGAGCAAATGCAAATTAACCGCAGCAGCAGCCAGCAGCGGCCTAATTGCTCCCTTACCTTCTCAGAAATGATGGTAAGCTGTAGGCGGTACCTTTTTTACCTTACCTTACCTTAAGAGATCATCAAAAGTCCACTGCTGGACATAGGGCTCCCCATAGATTGCCTCATAGGAAAGATATTTCCCATAGTTGCCGCGCTTGGCAAGTAGGTTTGCAACTGCAGTTTTTTCATTATACTGTTATCAGGAGGATGCTCCCCCCCATCTTTTGTTTCAGTTGCCCTTTGTCGCCTCATACCACACCAACGGGATGTTACAGTATATCTTATGTACAAATTATACAAAGTATTAATATTTACATTTAATATGCTATCTTAAATTTCAGCGTGGGTCGCTTGTACATGGACAATGCTGTTCACGCTAATGCAGACGTTCTTGTCGGAGCTATTGGTGCACCATCGGTTCGATATAGAGAATAGAGCACTTACGTTTGCGTTGCAGATTGTCTTGCCTCCCTTGGGACTCGTGCATGCTTTTAATGAGTTTGCTTTGTTACAAACTGGTCGTAAGTTTCACTGTCGCCTTTTTAACCCATTGAATGCTAACTTCGTAACAATAACGTCCTGCAGATCAAATTTTGGTCACTGTGACCAGCCCCATCGTCTTGCGCAGATGGTTAGCGCAAAACAGGATTGTAGTGCACGAGTGTGTGCGCATGCACATTGCAAAGGTGCACTTTCTATTCCCTCAACTCTGACTGGTGAGAAAACAGGCGCAGAACCAACGTCAGAAAATGTACGTGCTTACGTGCTTTCCAATGATTTGAAACACCGCCAGCTTACTGACTCCTGGATAAAACCTAGTAACTGTTTTTGCCTTGATCCAAATTCGAACCCGACCTAGGCCCTTACGAACACTCGCGCTTAAGAACGCTAGACCAACGAGACAGTAATACGTAATAATGTCTACATAGACAGATATAATAGGTGCCGACTACGTTATATTACGTAAGACTTCTGTATAAATTTAAATCTGGTGAGCATTGAACAACAGATTTGTATGTACCTATATGTCACAGTCAAAACTCATAACCGGTCAAAGCCACTTTTGACTGCGAAAATCAGGCAAAAATGTTTTTTTTTTTATAGAACAGGGTGACAAACGAGTACACAGTCCACCTGATGGTAAGTGCATGCTGTGGCCCATAGACATCTATATCCATCCTCGATTACGAATCAAAATACAGATGCGTTGTCACCCGTGAGGACTTCTTAGTCCTCACGGGTGACAACGCTGATGGAATGCCTCTTTTCCAGTAAAAAGTGTCTCCGGTTATCTACACTCACCATACGAAATACAGCAACATTAAGCTACTATTTTACAGTGGTCTTCTGTGAGAGCGTGGTCCTTCCTCGGTCGAGCCGATCCCCCATTCGTGCTACAATTATACAACTAATATAACTGCGGCATGGCTCTAGCACGTATAAGACATTTTGACTAACGTCCTTAGTCAAGAGTTGTTATGTCTGATTTTAAGTTCAGACTATCGGTCAAAACAGTAGGTTCAAGGTGCGGTTGGGGTGGCCCCTGCGCCACCCTAAAATCGCGTACATTATAACGATATAAAATATAATATTCAAAGAGTTGATCTTTTTAATTTTATAATTCATAAAGCTAAATCTAAAGTAGTTTTTACTAACATTCTCGGTCAAAATCTGTTTTAACCGATATAATTTGGTCAAAATCATTATTAGCCAATATATTTGACAGTTAAAAGTGGTATTAACCAACTTCCTTCGTCAAAACTACTTTAACTGTAACATATATACAAGGTCTGAGAGACCACAAGTGAAAAACGTTATAACAAGTAATAACTTTAGTCGTGGATGCCAGTAAGTTGCTTAACGTCTTCTAGCGGTCTTCTACCGTTTGTAGAACAGTACCTAACGATTGTCTTATTGTGAATATTTACATTCAATGGGTTAAGGTTGTACTGTACTTATTATTTATCCCCTACATATATTCAAAGTACTTTAAATACATTTTTCAGAAGCAGGGGCCAGTGATAGCTCCTTATTGTACCCCATACTGTCCTGGTTGTTAATGATTGCTTTTTATTTTGCAATACTTATGCTCTTGCAAAGAACTATCGGTAATGAGAGGGCGATAGGGGGTCAAATGTCGTGGAAGTCTATCATCTTCAAAAAGGGCGTGGTAAATATTTGCTATATTTTTTTAATGATTAAAACAACTTTTACCGTGTAGTGGCGGTGTAAGAATAGCCTCTACCTGTACCCCTTATCGTACCCGTGGGTGTCGTGAGACGTGACAAAGGCAGACTGAAATCGGAAATGTGTAGCAGCATCTTCCTCCTAACAATTCTGAAAAATAAACTGCAGTTGCAAACTATCCTGCAAAGCGTGGCAACTATGGCAAAATTCTCCCTATCTATGGAAAAGGCAGAAGAAAGGAGAGCCGTGGTAGCTCAGTGGTTAACGCTCGCTGTAAATATAACAGAACGCGAGTAACCCCCGCCGGCACCAATGAAATTGTTAATTGCAATTTTAAGTGCTGATTTACCACGTGCTCGGCGGTGAAGGAAAACATCGTGAGGAAACCTGCATGTCCTCTGAGGAATAAGAAAAAAAAATATTTCGAAGACATGTGAAGTTCGTCAACACGCATTTGGGCAGCGCGGCGGACACTTCCTTGCCCTAAACCCTCTCAGAAATGAGGGGAGGCCTGAGCCCAGCAGTGGGACGTATATAGGCTGTAACTTTACTTTACTTTTTTTATGGAAAAGGCCTGTCTTCAGCAATGGATTTTTTACATGATTGTAATGGATGACTGAAAACAACTAAGAATTCTATGCGGTGAAAAAAAACTATACTCGGTGATTTTTTACCGTCTAGAAAAAATAGGGTGTAACAGGTTAACGGAAAAGCCTATGGCACTGATATTTTACATTGTTTTTTACTTTACATCAACATATTATGAAATTGATCTATCAACAGTTGCAGCTAATTAGGTACGTATTATTTTAATTTCGATAGTTCTTAGTTCATTTATTTAGTTCAAAATTTTTATTGTTATTTTTTCGTAACCACCGAACTTTTATTTCAAATTAGTGGTATTTATTGATAGATCAATTTCATAATATTATGTTAATGTAAAAATAAATAAAATTGTAAAATATCAGTGTCATAGGCTTTTCCGTTTACCTGTTACACCCTATTTTTTGCCAGACGGTAAAAAAAATTACCAGTATTTACATACATATATATACCAATAATCATCATTCATATATTACAACCCATCAGAAGTCTGAAGCTTATAGCTCACCCACAGATTATCCCCTAGGTTGACAACCGCAGTTTTCTATTAATATCGTTAAGTTATTGTTAGGAAGATTCTAGTATCCATCTCATACCTCAGTTCCATCTGTCGCCTCGTACGACACACGCATTATAATATTACACGGCAACATAAATACAGTAAAAATACAAAAAAAAAATGGTTCCGACGACTGACAAATTAATTACAGTAGTATATTCATACCAATATGCTGGAACTACGCGAGCTGATTATATGGCACAAACAATTATTGCCTATTTTAACACGATAAACATTATCCTAGTAACCTAGGATTTAGAAAAATACCCGACATTTAGAAAATATTTTGTTCTTGTACAAAGAGTAATGAACATAAACGTTAAATCTTTTCTAGGACGTTAATAAATTGCACCGTATAAAATCGCATTCAGCAGCGGACAAAGATAAACTACAAGAAGTGGATGAGCTGGTTGCTAAAGCTGTTAGTTTTAGAAATGTTTCGAAGGTATGGAATAATGTTATTTTTGTATTAATATAGGCATACATTCATTATCATCATTACAACCCTCACAAGTCCACTGCTGAACATATGCTTGCTTCCAGGAACGCCACAAAGCACAGTCACGGCTTAGCCATCGGCATCTATTAACTTTCCGCAAGTATTTTTTTTAACAATATGGCCCTTATACTGTGGTTATGTCACAATAATTCTGCCAATGTCCAGTCTTTGTTCTGTCACACCTTGTCATGAGGCTTCTCGATGAGAAAGGAGTCCGCAAGTCTTACTAATATATTAAAAAATTTTGCACTTCTGTGAAACCGATAAGTCGTCAGAATGAATGATGAAACTGTTCAAATGAATTACTGGTACATAAAGTACTTATGGTAGCCCTATTATAACTTTATATATATATATATATATATATATATATATATATATATATATATATATATATATATATATATATATATATATATCCCGTATATATATATAACCTTAAACTTTTCCAATTTCCGGTGTTAAATTCAATGATTTCAAAAGGAAGGATAGGCCCATCTAAATATTTTACTCATAACTTTTTCATACAAGAAAAAGTAGCGCATCTATCATAATACAAACGTCACATCATAGCACGACGTAACCAGGGTCGAATTTCGTAGTATAATTATCCTAACTGTACCATTATTTCATAGTTTGTAGTATATAGTATCATACTAATACTAAGCGCAAATACCATCATTTTACCTAAAACCTGTATTATTATTAGTCCTTTTACTTTTTAATATTAACCCTACGATATCGAGAATTTCTGTATGTGTACATGGTACCGCGTTTTTTAAATGAAATTAGAATTAGCTCCCTTTCTGGTCAATCGGTGCTCGATCGATGCATTTATGTTGCATCCTTGATACAACTATAATGAGAGGCTACCACGATAAAAACTCTATGCTCCAGATGCAATCGGTTTGAAAACAGAATTTTAAAAATATTTTATGAATCAGATTTTCAGATTCAATTAAGCAGATATGGTTTCTTTTATACCCTTTTCGTTTTACCCTTATTGAATATAAAATATATTAGGTACCAATATTCAAAATTAACCTTATTCTAAGTTTTTAGACAAAAATAAAACAGAAATAAAAATATAACCGTCAAAAACGAAACGTATTAGATAAACTAGACGAGTGACGCCAAAATCCCTCCACATGGGAAAAAAGAAACATGAAAGCATGAAACGTCAAACGTGATATAATTTTTAAAAAATAGTATAATTTTATTTTTCGTGTACAATATTTTTGAGGGTCTGAATCCAACCCTGGCCTAATATTGGTAACGTAACTAAACTAAATATAAAATAAAATTTTAAAAATGCGTTCATATAATCATTTAATTGTAACAAAATTAATACAGGGATTATTAACCGATGATACGATATCCCATGTTACAGCTTTTTAATCTTCGTATCGTAATTTTTGCATTCTTTTACCACGCAGCTTGACATATTTATGACAGACAAATCTGTCCTGCGCGCGCACTACTGTCGACCGATTCGCGTTGGCCCTAAACTGTAATTTTAGGGCCAGCGCACTGGTCCGTTTTAGTTGTTCGGTCGGCCCAGTCCTTACGCTAGTAATATATAAGTCAATGGTTAAATTAGATTTTGGTGTTTTATAATAGATACTATAGGAAGTAAACGGTATACCCATTAGGTTTCTAGAGAAAATTTTAGTTTTTACGGCCCTAAAAATTATGTAGTTACATTTGACAACAGTGTTAATAATTTTATTTTAATTCCGATGTATACAATATTTATAAAACAGTATTGTATATTTCTAGAGTATCATGGGCACACTTGTTCTAAACGATATAACATTTGACATATATCGTGGCGAGTTCACAATGATATTCGCGGACCGGATTCACCGCAAGATGATAATCACCATAGAAGACTTGCTCTCTGGTAATTATTGTTAATAATGCAAAAATTGTCACTATTAAAATAATATACAATAATTCTATTAAGAGAACCTAGCAACTAAATCTATTATTTTTCAACCGACTTCAAAAAGGAAAATGTACTCAATTCGACCGTATGTTTTTATTGTGTTTTACCTCATTTCTTTTTTCTCGGTGAACCGTATTTCGATGATTCTTTTTTTATTCGAAAGCTGGTGCTTTTCATGTGGTTGCGTATAAAAAATTGATCAAGGTCTGGCTAGTAGTTTTTGAGTTATCCTTAATAATTTGTATTGAAGTCGTTTGTACAAAATTTTTAATTTTACCACTTGTTTAATATAGATTTCTTATTTGTATAAAATGTCGTTTTGGCTTTTAGGCTTAACATATGCAGACAAAGGCTCGATTAACGTACTAGGCCAAGAGCTGAAGCCAGGCAACAACTGCATGGACCAACCATACATGACCGGCTACTGTCATCGTAGCGAGTTCCTAATTCGAGACCTTTCTGTGGAGGAACACCTTATCTTTTTTCTGGGGGTTAGATCATTCCTTAATACATTATCTGCGTGTCGTGTAATTCACCTTGTACCAATTATAGATTCTATAGAACGATACATAGTTTGCGATCAATCCAAGTTCGATTTCGCCGGTACTTATAAAGTAAATTACAAATATGTAGAATAACTACTTCTTCGAAACCTTTCTGTGGAGGATCACCTTATGTTTTTTCTGAGGGTTAGATCATTCCTTAATACATTATCTGCGTGTCGTGTAATTCACCTTGTACCAATTATAGATTCTATAGAACGTACATAGTTTGCGATCAATCCAAGTTCGATTCCGCCGGTACTTATAATGTAAATTACAAATATGTAGAATAACTACTTCTTCTCATAAATTAAAAGAGGCCAGTGCCATAGTATGAAGCTCGATACGGTGTTGGTCGGTGACTGAAAGGTCATTACGGTTACAGTCATGGTATGGAACGTTATAGTACGATGAAATGTTATGACTTTACATTTTTTACGCCCAATTTATAATTTGTATTAGTTTTCAATTTATATTTTGTATTCCTTTAACACGTTAGCTGCAGGGCCATTTTCAAAGAACTTTCAGCCAGTGCTTTGGAGATCGATTAGACCTCATACGTATGCTAACTTTATTACTGTGCGTGTAAGACGTTTTCATCATCATAAGAATATAGTTTTTTGATATATGATATCAAATTCTACGACATATTCATATTATATAATCCTTCTTTGTAAATAAACTACAACTGTAATATACTGCAAAGTAGATAAAAAATCAATTTAGGTTTAGGGTATCGATTACATGTTTAACCGCAGTAAAAGATAGTGTAGGTAATATGTATTACGGCTAGTGATTGGAATAGAATAAAACATCAGTTTTCGATAACATAATGTCTTTAAAAAATACTTAATGTTTTTCATTTAGACATGGCTAACAAGTTTTCTAATTACATTGGACGCATTAAGTTACTACCTATTCGTTTGGTTTTATGATATCTATACAAATGCCCTCAGAGAGTTTTGCTAGTAAATCATATTAATAGATCGTTTTTAATTGTTCCTAATAAAGTATTTAAGACTACATTTATGCTAAATTTCGTCAAAATTGTTGGAGCGGATCTCCCTTGGCGCAAGAAAACGATTCTTTGAAATCTATCTACTCCGTAACCCGTAGGCCTATTTACATATCTTTTTTCGGCAATATTTGTAATTCAACGCAGGAAAATACATGTAAATCAAAAGCACGCGCTTTTGTAATAATTATTGAGAAAATAATTAATTTAAAACAATTGTAATGTGATTCAATCTTTTGTTGAAATAAAGATAGTTATGACTTTGGACTTTTACTCCGCTCCGTTTATGATGCTAGCAAAAGGTTTTACCTTTGCATCTGCATCGGCCCTAGTTAAGTAGTGAGTTATTGTAAATATTCCTTCATTTTTTTTTTGCATTTTTGATATAATTTTTAGTAGCCTCTTCAAGATTATTTACAAAATTTGGTACTTACTAATCAAAATTTTACTTTTTTCTTGTCTTTAAGTTAGGACAATTCATTTAATTAAAAAAACTTCGTTTGAAAACACTAAATCAAACTCTAGCTGCACTGTGAGAATAATATTTCTACCTAGTGCATTAGAGACCTAATCAGTCTCAATAAAATTAACTACATCTACATCGGAATTAAACTTATATATTTGTCTTTGTTTATACGTTATATATAGCCGTAGTAGTTTACCGCACAGAGGGAGAAAACAGGAATTTGATTCCCGCACTGGCTGCAAGTCACGCTGAAGGTCCTTTGCACACCCTAACGCAGTAAACGTGTTAACTACACTTAAATCTCTTAATCAGATTTGTGTATGGTACGAGTCCAGCAGTTACGTTACTGAGTATAGTCAAATTCGAATGAAACGTCTTCTGCAAGACTGTGACCTGGAGGACGTGAAGGACAAATACGTGGAGAACTTGGACGTTTACTATCAAGCGCAACTGTGCTGGGCGATAGCACTTCTTTTGGAACCAAGGGTTTGTGTCCTATAAATCTACCATTATAAACTCTTGTTTGTTCATATTTAAAATTCTCATCCGCAGTCAATAGCTTCATTCATCATGATTATCATCATCATTACAAGCTTCTTTCTACAAGTCTGCTGCTGAATATAAGCCTCTGCCAGGGCACAAGGAATGCCACCAAACATGGTTATGAGCCACCTGCATCCAACGACTTCCTGCTTGTCTTACCAAGTTGTCACGCCATCTCATGGGAGGCCGCCCCATACCACGGCAAGACTTTCAGATAGTATAAGTTCTTTCTGCATAGATCGGAACAAAAAATTAATAATCTTAAGTTGAAAATAGCCGTGTTTAACTATTAAATTCGCCGCAGCTCAGTCCCCCCGTGAGCATGAGGGCGGAAAAGTACTCGAAACTTTAAGAATATAAAAAGAAGTAGGTAATTTAAACGCTTTTATTTAATGTGTAGTGTTTGTTAGCATATTATACCTTTAATTTAGGACTTTTTTTTTTACAAAAAGCGTAAATAAATTTAAGAAATATACATATTGTTTTCGTCGCACAATAACTAAGTACTAAGATGAAGTACTGAGACAAAAACTTACAGCCTGTAATTTTCTCTTTTAAAACTCTTTCACTTAAAATCATAAAACGAGCTCGAAGAGTGTGTTTTGCCAGCTATTTTAGAACTAAAATTGACTTTACAAGATCGAATCACGCAATTATATAAAGTAAAGCTGGTCCAAGAAAATAAAACAGAAGAGCTTTAGAAATAAACAACAATCTAAATACTGCTTGCATACCTTGAAAATATTATAAACGTGGAAGGATAAGATCATTTATAAATGGCTTCAATCATTAGACTACGAACAGACAGAAAAACTATTTGAACGTATTGTTTAAGATACACTTATATACACCACAAACATACACATATACACACCACACACACACACATATACACACCACACGCATACACATACACACACCACACACATACATACCATTGGTAGTATTTTAAACATGTTTACTTTCATAATTTTTGCAACTTTCTAAAGTGCAGTTCGTTTTAATGTACTTTTACCATGAGAAGCTGTAATTTTTACCGACTTCAAAAAGGAGGAGATATTCCGACAGATAACCGAAGTAAGCAACTTAAAAATTTGTGAAATTTGTACATAGCTTATTTTAAACATATTGTAAAAAGCTTATTGTAAAGGAAAGGAATGTAATTATGCTAATAAAGTTTATTTATTTATTATTATTATGTTATTCAATTCGACTGTATGTATTTTCTATGTGTGTTATCTCAGAACTTTTCTCTGGGTGAGCCGATTTTGATGATTCTTTTTTTTATCTGAAAACTGGTACGTTTTTTGTGGTGCCATATAAACCTAATCAAAGATCTGAATAGTAGTTTTTGAGTTATCCTTAATAATGCGTATTTAATTGACTGTTGTTCTCATTTTAATTGTATTAAAGTTGCACAAAATTTTTATTTTACTACTTGTTATTAAATATTTTACAGCAGTATCACTTCTGTTGGGGTAATGGTGGTGTTAATAATCCCATAGCACATCGCAACCTAGTTTGGGCACTAGTCTCCCACCTAGATTTTCCTGTATAACTATATAAATTGATTTATAGCTGTTATTTAGTTGTATAAGTTCATTATTACTTAGTATATAGCATTGTACTGATCATGTGAGAGAAAATAAATATGAAATTGAAAAAAAAAACGCCCACAAACTATGCAGCCAGCATAGTACATAAGCATAACAACAGTACGACTAAATTAAATTGCAAACTGTGATGTTTTATTTCAGATTATAATAGTGAACAGTTTATCTTCTACGCCTACTTACGAAGCGGTGATAAAGGATAAGATAATGGTAAACTATCAACTATATTATACTATAATTATATCAAACATCAAGTCATCCTTTGCATTTTACCCTTAGCAACCGCACCTAGTGACTGTATTATTGTAACGAAGAAGTTACAATAATGCTACTTTTTACCAGATTGCGTGACTCAAAGGAAGATAAAGTGTTTATCAGCCTATTAAATATGTATATTTGTTTCTTCCCTTGTTGGCACTCTAGAGACCAAACGTGTGAGCCAATTTTGATGATACGTCAATCGGTTTTTCTTAATCTTGGGAGCGTCACTGACGACATGACAGTTATCAAAATTCAATATGGCGATAATCAGACTAGATTATGAGAAAGAAAGAAATGAAAGGGGTATCGTTGAATAGGTCTTTGAAAATCATCTATGGTTTTTAAAAAAATCATATATAGATTTTAAATAACATTCAGGATCTGTAATGATTTAAAGTTGTTTAGCAACCGTTCTCACTTAAATTTGAGATCACTCTTATCATCAATTATTTTAATACAGCTATGCTTGATCACAATCACAAATTCTTTTAAATTGTTTAAAAAGTTATTAACGCGAAAAATACAGTCAAGTTTTTTTTAAGTTACTGTTTTCATCATTAAGGTTGTTCTTCTTCATCAAAGTCCACTGCTGGTCATAAGCCTCTCTCGTTGTAGAAAACATTTGCCCCAATCGTCACGCTTGCATTTTTGCTGGTGATAGAGCCACGCTACAGGTAAATTATGGTATAGTATGAATGGGTCGGCTCTACCGGGGAAGCACCACGCTCTCACAGAATACTAGCGTAAAATAGCAGCTTAATACTGCTGTGTTTTGTGTGGTGAGGGTAGAGATCCGAAGACATTTTTTTACTGGAAACGAGGCATTTCATCTTAGTTCTCAGGGGTGACAACGCATCTGTATTTTGATTCTTAATCGAGGATAAATGTAGATCACTATGGGCCACAGCATCCACTTACCATCAGGTGGACTCTGTGCTCGTTTGTCACCCTTATTCTATAAAAAAATATGCATTATTTCCGGTCACTTGCTCATCTTGCGCTTTCGATATGCTGCCCGTCACTCTATAAGCTACCAACATCCATGTATTGGAAGTCATAAAACTTGCCAGGCATTTACCATAGTCGCCAACATTACGAGACAAAAACTGATGTTGGATTATATTACGCAATCACCATACTATAAGTATTTTTTTTATTTGTCAATCATTTAACCATACCTATTCAACCAAATCCACTCTCATTCCAAAGTAATATCTTTGATCAATATATTGTGCGTTGTTTCCAGCGCTACAAGAAATATATAACCATAGTGAAGTTTTGCTTCGCCACCATTAAACTGGAATACGCGGACCGAGTATTTTTGTTTAATAATAAAGTTCTCGTCTTCGGCGGCACTCCTGCATATTTGTTCTTCAAATTTGGTACCACTCCAATGATATTTGATTGTTTTAGTTAACTACTTAGATTGTATGTGTTTCGTATGATGAATATAGAGTAACGAATACCCATTTTACTGGAAACGAGGCATTCTATCTTATTCCTCAGGGGCGACAACGCATCTGTATTTTAATTATTAATCGCGGATAATTATAGATGTCTATTATGGGCCACATCATCCACTTACTGGTGGATTGTGTGCTCGCTTGTCACCCCACCCTTATTCTATTAAAAAATGACTATAAACAAAACAAAAACTCTTAAATCATTTCCGTAATATCACGTCCATTTAATATTTACTTATCGTTTCATACATCATAATATATTCTTCAATACTATTACTGCCTCGCTGGTCTGATAGCAAGTGGACGACGTACAAATCAAACCGTTTGGTTAAAATGCATGACAAGTCGACAACGAAGAGGTAGAGATTGTACAAGCGACCGAGCATGTGGTTGTCCAATTGTGGAAGAGAAAGTCAAGAGAGTCAGGCGGTGTTCCACATTACATTTGTATAGACTCAATCTCCATCATTATATTACAGTAAGTTGTCACTTCCAAATGCAGAATGGGTATGAACAAAGCCAACTCAACTTTCCGGTGAATTTCAAAAAACATAAACTTTGACGATAGCGCTCATCGCAATAACTTATAAGAATTTTAAATAAACTAACAGAAAAACACATGGTTCTAATTTTAGTGTTTCTCGCTTCTTCGCAGGACGAGAATATCGCGTACGAATAACATTCCGAAGCGGCAGCCTCGACAATGAGACAATACCGGAAATCCTACAGAAAGCCCAGGCAGCCGGTGCTAAAGTCCGAGCTCATTTAGGCTCTCTACTCATACTCAGGTTGCCTACCGCTCCCACTGCCACCGTAGCAACATTGATCAAAGACTTGGCCAAAAACTCAAACACATACGGAATCACTTCTATGAATGTCAGTGTACCGGATTCAGAGGAAGTTTGCCATAGGTATATTTTTTTAAATAATTGGCACGGCCGTGTAGTGATGATGTAAGATTATCCACTACCCCATATCGTCCCGTGGGTATCGTAAGATGCGACAGAGGATAACTGAAACAGGAGATGGGAAGCCGCATCTTCCTGATAACAGCTCAAAATTGTTAAAAACTGTAGTTGCCAATCCGCCTGCCAAGCCTGGCAACTATCTGAAAAAATACCCTCTATGACGCAATCAGTGGTGAGGCCTATTTTCAGCATTGGATTTTAATAAGCTGTATTGTATGGATGTATGTAATTGCCAAAAGCGGATGGATCACTTCACGTCCTCCTATTAAATTTATCACTTAAGTGGGCGGCAAAAGAATTAAAGAATCAGTCAACGCATCCTATCATTTTGATCAAAATAAGCGTTTGATTGGAATTGGATCTATCCCTACAAAGAGATGATGAACACCGTTCCTTGATTTCATGTTTTTTAAAATTACCGGTTTTGTGGAATTATTTCTGTCAGCTTTGCTTTGAGGTTCGCTGAAGCATGGATGGATTTAAAAAAAATATTCACTAGTAAAGTTTTTTATCCCCTGCTACCCTACCGTACAGCGTGAACCCTTCAAAGTATTTTTAAAATAAAATAGAAGTCTTTTAAGATTTTATGTGTAATAACCATGCTGCAGCTCCCTATATTACGTTTGTAGCACGAATGGGTTGACTTGACCGGGGAAAGACCACGCTCTCACAGAATAGCAGCTTAAAGCTGCTGTGTTTCGTGTGGTGAGTGTGGAGAACCGGAGACTCTTTTTACAGGTAACGAGGCATTCTATCTTAGTCATCAGCTGCATTGTGATCGCTATCATGCTATTTATAAATGAATTCATTCTAATTGAATAAAATAATGTATTGTAAATTAATTGTATTTTATCTTTATCTTTACTTATTTAATCTGAACAACACAAATTGTTTTGAATAATTCATGCAAAAATACCATTAAAATGCTTTACAACCAAATTTACAAATAAATAAAATTACAATAAAAATATAAAATTACATTATATGAAATAGCAATCAACATAAAAGTACAATTATATAAAAATTACAAGTTAAATTTCATCACTATAAATAAAATTTAAAGTAAAATATCACAAAATAATAATGATAATAATTGTTAAAAAAATTACGTTTTTTTAAATGTCATCAAAAATTTTAAAACATTGAATGTTGTATAAATAGCATTAGCATGTAGAAACTCGTCAACACTATGATAACGTTTTTACAGTAGGAACTTATTAAAAGTATTTTAAAGCTATTCTCGTACAACATATTTTTTAAATCTATAGGTAATCTATAAAATAGAAGTACTATAATATGTGCCAAATCGATTGAGAAAAATGGACAATGACCTCAGTCAGATATGAGCCGAGTGTCAAAAGGCGTAACTTACAAAATCTCAATTTAGATGTGATAACAATATTTAAATATTCATATTATTCACACTTCTAGGTCATCACATCATGTGTTTTTTTTTTGTTTCTTAAATAATATTGTCTGTGATTTCTATAAACGTCGTAAAATCTTACGGTATATCGTGGAAAATGTGTTATATTTTATATTTCAATTGACTGACTTCAAAGGACTGAGTTTTTTTCCGAACCAGTGGTAAGAAGAATAAGAAAATGACTTTCAATAAGAATTATATGTAATCTATACTGAATAAAAATTATTCTATTCTATTCTATTATATGTAGAGGACTGTGGCCACAGCATTCACTTACCATCAGGTGGATTGTGTTTTCATTTGTCACCCTTAACCTACAAAAAAATCTCGAATACTGATAGAACGTCCCACCCCCACCCCTATGGACTAAGATGGAATGTCTCGTTTCCAGTAAAAAGGGTCTTCGGATCTCTACACTCACCATACGAAACACAGCAGCATTAAGCTGCTACTTTACGCTGGTATTCTGTGAGAGTGTGGTCCTCCCCCGGTCGAGCCGACCCATTCGTGCTACAATCATAACATAATTGCTGCGTGGCTCTACCACGTATATAACTAAACAAAGTAAAGAGAATAAAATGATTTTCTCATGACAACTTCGGCAGTCGGTGTTAAAACATAGGGTACTTATAGAAATATTGAAGCCCTAACTTCTGAAGCTGTTATGTGGAAAATATTTAATATAATTAATTTTAGTTTTTAGAAGCCAGCTTTTACTTTTTATCAGAAGTTTCATTTTTTGACCGTTTTGAGTGGACTAAATATTATCAAAAGCTCAAGATAACAACTAGAATGTCGTCTAAATAGTTTAATAGTGGAACTTTACTTCAAATTTATATGGAACCCCTGAAGCTATTTTGTAAAAAAAGGATATTATTATTTATTTATAACAATTTTTGGCTTGGATACTTGTCCTTTAAGCCATGTCTTTATTTTATTTTATTCATGATCTTCGTTTTTAGAGACTCGTTACAATATGTTGAAGCGTCATATTGCGAAGTTTGACTACAGCTTGAGCCATCAGACAGTCGAATACGACAGTATCTCAAGACGCCTAAGCATACACGTTATCTTGAGATTCACAACACTATC